ATTTCAGTACTAAATTGTGAACGTGCATGTCCTTCTCATGTCTGGTGGCACAGGTGCTGAATGTTTCAACCCTCAACCCCCCATGCCAGCCTTACTAGGATGCTTTGTGAATTCCTCTAATCCAAATGGTCTGAGCCCGCAAAAGCGTTCCGCCAGCCAGAGGTAAATTCTGATTACCTGTGTGGGGGCCGTTGAGGCTCGGTCTTGGCTGCTGCGTGTTGTTGGTTTGGACCTGTGTGCTTGGCTGCGTGTGGGGCGGCTCTTGGGCCAGTCTCACCCCCTGTGTTGAAACTACTGAAGCTAAAGATTGAAAATGCAAGGCTTACATTATTCCATAATACAAATGTAATGTTACCAAACACTCATAAGCTACCAAGCCCACGCCTGCACAAATACCATCTCCATTGAGAAAACCATTTCTATTGATCTAACCACAGTGACCTTTAACCTATAAAATCCCAAATCAATAGGCTTCCTGAGGACAGCAAGACCAACCCACTCATCAGTTTTCAAGTTGATATGCCCAGTTCTTCTTGAATTATGTTGGGAAACCATGTAACTATTATGAATACTTTGACCATTGACTTAATGTGTCCAAAATCAATAGGCCTCTGAATGGCACCAAGACCAGCCTACTTGCCAAGTTTGAAGTTGACATGTCCAGTGAGTCTCAAATGAAGTGGTGCATCTATTTCTGTAGGTTTACTTACATAATTACATTTATAAGTCTTTTATTCTTTATGTTTCTGACCGAGTACATTGATCTCATCAGTTTGATTTAATGCCTGTGTGACTACATTAACAAGTTAGTCTTTGTCACTGATTCCAACGAAGTGGTCAGTTTGTTCTCACCTTGTGAGCTGCTGGAATTGTGTTGCGCCCCTGCGGCTACGGCGTAGGCAGGCCCTGATGGTGGCTGTGCTATTGCATGTTGTGTTGAGGGCACCGGTACACTGTTGGAAGGAAGAAAAGTGGCGTCGATTTATGCTTCTTCCAAAGTCAACGACTACGGCTCTCTGGATTTTGGAGTCCAGAAAAATCCACAAATTTGGGAAAACTTTGCTTGAGGAGCTTGGATTTCAAGGGTTTACTTTCAGAGAAAAAGACTGCAAGTTTCAAGAATGAGTGTTTTTTTACAGTGTGTTGGTAATAGCTTAACCCAGATGGTTCTCTGAAAATTGAAACAAAATAGGTAGACACTTCAGTTAAATACAGTAATTGGCCAATGCGATAACATGTAACCATGTTGATTGACATGTCTTAGTGAGGAATGGACATATAGGTTCAAATCACTACCAAAATGCTAAATTAACAACACTGAAAAAGCCTTCACACTTGCCCAAAACTAGAACAAAATCTTCAGACTTGTTACTGAAAAAGTTGGTCTCACCTATTGGCTTTACTGAGACTGCTCTTGTTCGTGTTTGACTGGTTTATCGATGATACCCCTGACGACGGCAGCGAGTTAACAAGTGTTGTGCTTGGCGTTGACGCCGCTCTGACAATGGTCGGCCGATTCGACTGTGACGACGATGTTGCACTTTTGCCCCCTTTCCTTGGCGATGACGAGGACTGTGCAGGGGCAAGTGGCAAAAATTACAGTGAGGCTGGAGGCTGATTTGGTAAACATCTCCCGTTGTTAGGTGCCAAGTGGCAAGTGCATGGGAAAAAGCCAAGAGGCTTTTAACTTTCTCAAAAATTCTACACCTGGATAGAGCAATCTTTGCTCAACCCTAACTCCCTAGGGTGATTTCCTAGGAACCTTCTACGTCCTTGCAAATCTCAACACTGTAGTAACCTGTGCACACTGTGGACTCTGTTTATTTGTGGCATCCCTAATCCCACATGAAAGACAGCCAGTGTACTGCTGCAGTACTCATCCCAACAGATACCAACAAACCCTGGTGTTGGAGTTTGGTTGGTTTGGGATTCTTGAGGTTTAGCCAGTTTGTGCCAGAGGGCATGGGAATAGGATCTGGTTGTCTGCATACACAGAAAAGGCTAACGGATCAAACTGCCACGCGTGTCGCGAGCTCCTGCCAGTCGCTCTGTGCCGTGGGAGTTGTAAATATGACGTTGGGGTAAAAAAGATATATAAATATTGTTCAAATGACTCCAACAGGTCAGTATTTATAGCATTTGGCTGTATATCAGAAGTTGGCTACTGCATCTTGCCTTTTTTGAGAGTCGAAATGGTCAATGGCCAACCCTGAATAGACTGTTTATCAACCAAACCAGCTTTATTACCGCTACAAACTTTCTTTAATTTCCAGAAATTTCACTTTCTTTTAATTTACAATTGTCCATGAACCCAACTCTTTGCTGTATTTTGTCACAACACAACCGAGTTGTTGCCACAAAATACCAAATTACAACTCGGCTTGGTAAACAAAAGTGGTATCCTATGCACCCCATGTAGAGCCGTCTTACCTCGCTGTCCGTCCGTCTCTTCTTATCCTCCTCATTCTTGTCTTTGGAATGGTTGGAGCTTGGGCTGGGGAGTAGCGTGGGCGAGCTACTGATGGGCGTGTCCCCGGAGGTATTGGTCATGACGTCGTCGTCTGGTGACGCAGCGAGCAAAGTGTTACTTAAAGCTGCTTTTTGTTTGGTTGTTGTTGTTTTTTTTTTTCATTTTTTTTCCCGCGGGTGGGGGAGGTTTAGAAAATGGCAATTCACGAGGCAAAACACAAACAGGGGAGAAATGTGATTCCATGAGTTACTGATCATCATCATTAATGCAGCCTCCAAATTTATCAACTTGGGTATAAAGCAGAGGGGTTTTTTTAATTTTGTGTATGTTTGTGATAGGACAGTTGCTTTGTCTCAAAGGAAAATGGCTGAGTAAAACTATTAACTACTCAAATATTAATGAAAATGTTAAAAATTACAATCCGGTTCTGAAAGATAATGTACAGTTTGGAACGGATGATAATTTCTTTTTTCAGGCAAATTTAAACCCATCACAACTGAAATGAATGGTAGAAAAAAATACAATAAAAAAGATTAGAAGATGAGGGATCTCAAAAAAGTCCACACAGAAAGCTTGGTAATCCTAAAATTATTTTTGTCCTGAAAACCAGTTTCAATCTTCAGCACATTAAGCATTGTGTTTGCTTTCACAAACGTACATTCCTCGTCGATATCAAGATCATCGTAGATGAACTCATTCTCCTCAAAGTCCGGTTCTTGTGACGAGTCGATGTAATACTCCACATCGTCCTTGATTTTCTTGATCTGTAAGACAAGACACCAACGAGTTCCGGCCAATTGAGAGCCTAGCCTGAGTAGTTCGGAGAAACAAAATCCCACTCCCATTTGAAGCACTCCCTCAAGGGCACAGAGGAGACTAGCCGATATGGGAGTTTTAAAACTGAGCTTATTCACACGCACCACGCACACGCCCACACCGTACAAATGAACGACAATTGGTTATCCGTGCTCGATACTGGCCTGTGCCAGATGCGTACAGAGCAGTGAGTTCCCACCAAAGGCACACAGTTGCCATGTTACAGGATGCAAGTTCCGGCACAGAGAGCAGATACTTTATCTAAACAAGCACCATGGCCACACAACTGATCACACTTGCGGAGACCAGTGGCACACAACTGCAACATCGTACAGGATCCATGCATCTCTTCAGACAGTGCAATGACAGATGGTAGTTGGGGTATACGATGCTAACCCACCATGCAGACTAAATGCAACCCTTTACACAAATGAACAGTGAGTGTGTTTCTGCATTCAATTGGGGACCCTGAACAACAGAGGACAATAAGGTCCCCGATTCACACAGGGTCCCTGATTCACACAGGGTCCCCGATTGACAACTGTGTACAAAACATACGGGTGGTCTTCTAAAAAAGTTAAAGTACAAACAAAAGAGGAACAATAGGGGGTCCCCAGTTGCAGGCAAATACACACTAGTGTGTGTGAGTAACCGAGAATAACATCACTGAGCCACATAGCATAGAACTTTACTGCGCACAGACAGGCTCTGAAAAATTACAAGCCTGAACGTCAAGTCATATTATATTCCTTTCCATGAATTGGTGTAAAGAGGTGACTAACCCTCCTCCGTTATGAGTCACAGACAATCCAAAATAATTTCTGCAACTTCTCCTGCTACTGCACACAGACATACAGCTGATTTTTGATTCTGTGCCCATTGAATGTTTGCTCGTCAGTGGGACGACCTTGGGCCTGGATGCTGACCCCCTTCCACTGACCTGTTCGACTTCTATCGTGCTGTTGTCCAACATTCTCATCAGTGTCTCCAACTTGTTGATGTGGAACCGGTTCTTGTCGAGCCAGCTCTGGAGCTCCTCCACTCTCTCTTGCTTCTGGAAACGCAAGCAGTGTCTCGATTCCAGTCATATTCCTCTTCACGAGGGGGACCTTTTTATCTCAGTTGTTACAATTGACAGGGGCAAAGCGCAACACAGATGGGCCACAGTGACACTGGGTTGTTAGTTACTGGAATTTACACAGTGTATCCTCTATCTTGACTACCAATGAAATCTCAAGTTCAAATATTAAGCACTTGCTGCAGCAAAGGACACACCTCTAACATCTAGCATTGAATTATTAACCCTAACTCTGGCACTATGCTACAGGTTTACAAGTCTAGTGCACGCTGTTGCACTATGCAATCAACAGTCGCTGAGTAAGCTGCCCAAGTTGAGACTATGGGAGCTGGAGCTAGTCCTATTGAACAATGCCACTGTGGGATCCTGGGGGGCGGTTGGCAACCACAGACGCCCACGACATTTGGCCTCGGGGGTTGCTGACCTGCTGGATCTTGTTACACTCTGCAGGCAAGTTACCTTGTGTGAAGAGTGCAGCAAGACAAATGACCAAGGGTGCAAAATCATGTCAGGCAGGGTTTCCGGCCAAAACACCATGGAGGGTTTGGGTTCTTATCCAACAGAATGATCGAGTGTGTTAGAGTATTTGGGACCAGCAAGGCGGCCACAGGGATGAGTCTCCCCAATTAAACATGCGAAGTTACTTTTTAAAAGGCTCAAAAAAAAAAGTAGCATTCCAAACTAAGATAAGAATGTATGGGACGAAAAGTCCATGTGGGATAAATTCTCTCGACAACTCACATCTGAGGGAACCTTCCTCTTCTTGGAGCTGGAGAGGATGTTCTCTAGCTCACTCTCAAACTGGTCCACCTGGATATTGAGCGACTCGATGCAGTGTGCCAGCCACATGGTGATGTCATCCTTTTCCTTCTGTATCGGGTCGATCTTGGTGGCTAGGCCCAGGCCCTCCTTGGAGTACGCCTTGGTCTTCGTCTCCCGTTCCACCACCTTGAACCGTTCCATTTGCTGTCCGGTAGAAAATGAAGCAGAGTGGTTACGTACTGCACACTGTCAACAAAGTGATGGCCGACTGGGTGAAAACAATGGCAGTTCTGTGCAAATATGATCAAAATAATGTGACGTAGAGAGCATTCCAGTACCTGGTGGACTCTCAATGCACTGCACACCATATCATCCCCTGCTTACTGGGCCCAGAAATAATCCTGTATACCATCTCAACTCCCTCAGGCCTCCACAACAATCAGTGCAACCACTTCAGGTACTTCTATGTTAATCAGCCACAAATCAACCGCTCTGCCCTCACAGATACACATTTACACTCCTGGGTGGAAAGAGGTATTACTGGGGGGAAAAGTGACTTATGCAAGGTCACAACTTGTACCCTATTGCAGGATTCCACCCCTGGAACCAAAAAAATTACAAAAAGGATGCTTTCATCCCAATGCTCTATACTAAGCATGAAATCCATTGTGAGCAGTAATAAAAAAAAATCAGTGATGAGCTTCCAAGCAGTGGTGTCAGCTGCCTGACCTTGTTAAGCCCATTCACATCGGCACCTCTTGGAAAGAATATTCATTTTGATTGTGTACACTTGCTTTGAATACACAGACAAGAAGTCAACATGAACAAGCCACAGCATTATTAATTCCTAACAGATACAAATCATGTTTTCTTACTATCTCTATGAGTTTCCTGTTTTCAAGAAGTGTCCTCTTGTCTTTGATTTCGTTGGAGGCAGCCCACGTTTTGATTTGATCTCGTAGCCGCTGCAAAGCCAAAGCACAGAGCAAAGAAACGTTCCTTTACAATGGCCACAACACGATAAATACAACTTCCATGGAAACGGGAATATGTTAACCCCCACGTCTAATGGTGAAAATTCACGGGGAAAAAACAGCGAGGTCAAGCCCATCAGGTGAAGACACAAACGGGCGAAATAGAAGGGAGTTCCCAATGCCACAGGTTAAAGATCCCTCCTGACTTACCTGAAGTTTCTTGATTTCTTTCTTGAGATCTGCTTCATACTTCTCTTTCTGGTTACTGTTGGTAGCATTATGGACCTGCACATAAACATTCTCTTTAAATGACTCCAAAGCTGAAAGCAAGCACTGCCCAGTCATTGTAAAAGTAGTTGCCACTTTGAAGTACTTTTGCATTTTGTTATCACACCAATGTTGAATATCAAACTTTTTAATACTGTTCACATTAACTCAATCTTAATTTCTTGCCAT